CGTGTAATCTGTTTCGGGTTGCGGAGTTCCACTCCATTGATGCTGACACGACACTTGGACTTAGTATTACGGCATGTTCTCGTTCTTTCGGGTTCGGAATTCTGGTCTGGAACAGGTTCGGTATTATCATGGTATTTCTGGCTTTCTACGGTATCCGGCTTCGGTACGGTACGCATCACTGCATCAGTTTCAGATTCGGTATTGGCAGCTTAGAAGGTTTATTTCAAGTAGTAACTTCAGGCTCGACTTTGGTCTGGCATGGGCTGCTGTGGTGCAGACAGGTTAACTCAGCCTCGGTATTGGTATGGTAGCAACCATGGTAATTGGTACACCGAGCCTGTTAACTTCGATTTTTGGCCCTGGCGCARGTGACCTGTGATTTGCTCTTGGTACTGTTCCAGAAATTGCTACTGGTTCAGTGATGGAAATCCGGTATCATTTCCTGGCGCTCCTGCTGCTTTTTTGGCTGGTACCGGTGACCTGGCCCGAAGTGCTGGTCTCGCAAGAAAATCCCGTGATACCGTTGGTACCAGAGCTACGGGCTTGGGCCTGCGTTTTTCTCAGGAGCCTCTGATCGACTGAGGGCCACGCCCTGTGCGGCTGCCGCCTATATGGGGGACCCGTTGATATTGGAATGGGGGCAGACGGGGGGCAGTCTCTTGCAGCATGCTGGGTGTACGCAGCCCACTTTGGAGCTCGTTTCAGACACGCGTGAATGAGCGACGGTCAACGGTAAAAGGAGAATGGAAGGAAGGGGGAAACGGACTGTGCGCCAGGTGTACACCGCCCACCTCTGGCTTATCGCGCTGCGTCGAAGGGCTTGATTGGAGAACAGAACGGGGAGAACTGCCTCAAACAGTAAAGAGGGGAGGAAGAAAGAGTTTGGGATGTGCACCGGGGACTCTGCAAGTTCGCGCTCGGTTCGTTTCTTGCTGGTATGGCGTGTGTAGCCCCTTCCAGCTAACGGGCTATCGCCTTGTTGTGGGGTTGAGTAAGAGGAAGAATGCGCGGGCTGCGCATGAAGAGGTAGGGGTGAACTTCGGCCGAGAAGATGAGAAACCGCTGCTTGAGCAGTGAGTATTAATCTGCCCCAATAAGCGGAGCGAATGCATTCTGTTTTCTTGGGCTTCATCTGCCTGCTTCATCAGTGAGAGAAAGTTGGTATTAATCTGCCCCAATAAGTGGGGCGAATGCATTGTGTTTTCTTGGGCTTGATCTGCCCGCTTCATCAGTGAGAGAAAGTTGGTATTAATCCGCCCCTATAAGTGGGGCGAATGCATTGTGTTTTCTTGGGCTTGATCTGCCCGCTTCATCAGTGAGAGAAAGTTGGTATTAATCTCCCCCAATAAGTTGGGCGAATGTATTCTGATTTCTTGGGCTTGATGTGCCCGCTTCATTAGTGATAAAAATTGGTATTAATCTGGCCCAATAAGTGAGGCGAATGCATTCTGATTTCTTGGGCTTGATCTGCCCGCTTCATCAGTGAGAGAAAGTTGGTATTAATCTGCCCCAATAAGTTGGGCGAATGCATTCTGATTTCTTGGGATAGATCTGCCCACTTCATCAATGAGAGAAAGTGAGTATTAATCTGCCCCAATAAGTGGGGCGAACACATTTTCATTTCTTGGGCTTGATCCGCCCGCTTCATCTGCGTGAAGAAGCGAGCATTAATCTGCCCCTATGAGAGGGACGATTACATTCCGACTTCGGGGGTTTGGTCTACCGTTACATTGGTGAGCAGCAGCTCTGTGGCCTGTATGGCTCTTTATTCCTCCTCGTAATATTAGCGTCGAATCTTTCCGCACACACGCACGCCCGCACACGCGCAGAGCGCGGACCGTGAGGAAAAAAAGAGGGGGAAAGGCGCAGAGAGAGAAAGTAGTAATAGGGAGATGTGTGCGACTGAGAGAGGGTAGAGACTCGTGGAAAGGGGGAAAAAGAGCGTAGCGGGAGAGAAGAAACAGTGCAGTAAGAGGGAAAGGGCGAGGGAGACAGTGTGAAAGGTGTTCACGGCAGAGTAGCCTGTCAGGGCGCTGCTAGCGAGAACAACAACCATCAGTGCGATGATTCCTCTGACATGATCGCTCACTTGACTACGCTGGTAATGAAACGGTACTCTTCAGGAGATCCAACGAGTGAACCAGCCGCTGGCTGAGACGGCATACTTCAATGAACAACTAGTCGAGCATTTCAGTTGATGGCAGGTCAGCTACTTCTCATCCGCGGAGAGGCCAATCGAGGGTGATATCGACCACTACTACAGATCAGTAGACTAAGACTGTTTTGTTGATCCGAACATCCGGAAATTCCACTATTAGTGGGACCAGCTGCACTTGCTAAATAAACAATCAGGCATTCGTCACCGTACGAGTCTAAAAGGATGTAGGAGGTAAGACTCGAGAGAGAGCCGGGATGGTTCATCTAGGTACTCTCGTGAAACTTTGATCGGAGGGAACGAGATGGTATGAATAACGGTTGTTAGCTTATATATTTCATTTATTGTCAAATCCCTGCAGCTATCTAGCGGGGGCGACGGAACGAGCTTGCTGACGGACAGAAGCAACAGGGGAAAAACTCTAAGAGAGAGAATGACCAGACGGGATAAAGTGAGCCAGACACGAGCTAGCAGCCTGACTGTGAACATACGAGGTTTTTTTTTTTTTTATTATCATTTTGTTTTAATTTACGAAAGCCACTACTGTGTGAATTTTGTGGTTCAACAGCAGGTTGTTAAAGGAACGACTCGGAATGAGATCACTCATTTACCCAGTCGACCGTGAAAGTCACCAACGTGCAAATATTTTGTGTTTTATCAGTTATTTGTTAATACTCGTTGTTTTCTGAGTTTGGTGAATTACTGGTTGATTGCAAAAAAATCTGCTGCATGAACTTTGCGATTTACTGGCTGGTGATTGAAATTTAGTGTTATGTGAACCTTCAAAGATCACCAAAAGAGAGAGAAAGAGAAACGGGACGCGCAGCGCCTGAGCCCTACTTCGAACCCAACTACTAGCTGAGGACCTTAGATGCGGGCGTGGTGAGTGACAGGCACCGTCTGCCCCTAGCTTCAGCAGGCAGCTGGGACCCCTCCCCGGGTTTCCCCACAACTTTGGCGCTGTTGCCGGGGAGGGGAACAACACCCCGAAGGCCACGGCCTTCCCCAATTAAATGGGGGTGCCCTGGCTGATTGACCAGGAGGTGATAAGTTCTAATTAGTTTGATTAGTGGATATCTTCTAATTTTTAATCATTTTAAATTCAGTTTTTTTCGAATATCTTATCATCCGCGCGTTTTCGCGCAAACTTCGTTGGGAACAAAGTTCGTCCTCTCGACGAGGTGAACATTTTGATATGTTTTTCGAGAAATTCTAACGGTGAAAAAGAGAGTTATTGGTTTTTTTTATTTTTCTAATTCTAAAATTCAAGAATAACAAATTTTGGTTTTTATAAATTTTCTGTTGGAAGAAGAGAAATCTGGAGAAACCCACAGGGGCCAAAGTTGGTCCTTGTTCTTTTCCCGACATTTTGAGATATTGAGCAGGAAAAACGGACGCTGTTTGGGGTGACGGCAGAGCCGAACAGATAAGAAAAGAAAGAAAAATAAAAAAATAATTGATTTTTTTTTTGTAATTTTGTTTAAAATTAAAACAAAAGAAATTAACCAAAAGTAATCCGATAGGATTTCTTTTTGGATTCATAAGACTTCAACAAAAATTTTCCTAAGATAAACGGGAGGTTGTGGTGAGAGAGCGAACGCGCGCAAGAAACTTAAATCCTAATTGGTGATACCTTAATTAGGGGGAACCCTAGTTGGGTGAAACCCTAACTAAGGGTTTAGGGGGCGAAAGCAACCTCAAGAATTATATTGAAACTAAATTTTTGCGAAAGATTAAAACCTTGTAATTCTCTGTAATTTTAAATATTTATCGATAAAAATGATATAAAAAAACAAAAGCAATTTTTTATTAATAATTGTTCAAAATTTGCTTTTCCGGTTTTTTTGGACAATGGGATTAGGGACGATTGCCCCAGGCCTCATCCTTGCGTGGGAAGGCAAAACGCTGCTAAAAAAAAAAATAAAATAAAATAAAAAAATGAAAATTCTATTTAAATCTGAATATTCTGGAATTTAAAAAGATAAAAATTATTAAAAATAATTAAAAATTCAGTAAAATAGGTTTATGTTTTTTATATTATTCTTCATCTTTTTCTGCATCCCTTAGTGTTTGTTGAGGGCTTCGCCCGAACCCCATCCCAACGGGGGGAGTCGAGGTGCTGCTAAAATTTTTCTAAATCCATAAAAAATACTTTAATTAAAATTAAATCAAGGAAACAGAGGTACTAATAGGAGAAACCTCTCTTAACGGAGAGGGAGTAAAAAGAAGAATTATTTCTACCTTCTTTAAAGAAAAATCTACTTAAATTTTGATAAATATAAAAAATTATAGAAAAGGGTAGAGATAAGGGAGAAAGACAAAAGGGAAGTTACCAAGGATAAAGAAATCAAGTTCTCTAAAGGTCGGGTGAGGAAAAAGGATTTTCTCTGGTTCTTATTGTATTTTTGCGAATTAGTTTTCAAAAAATTCAGTAAAAATTATTGAAAAGGTTGAGAAATCGAGGGAAATTCGAGACTGATTTCCTCTGGCATTTTTTTAACCATCCTTCAATTCTAGGACCAAAGTACCTCAAATTTTGAGACTAATTTTGATTTTTTGTTAAATTAAACTATTAAAATTTCTTAAAAATCAAAAACAGTTCGGAAAATTCGGGGAAAGAGTTCCAATTTAGTATTTCGCAGGTTCTTAAGTTGTTGGCAACCCCTGCGGGCAGAGAGCGTGTGCGGGAGCGCTGAGAGTAGGTTTCTCTCGAATTGTGCACGTGCCTACTATTCGAGGGAACTTGAATAAGAGGCTCGTTAGCTCAATTCAAGCCAGGGATTCTGCCTTATAGATGTCAGGGTAAAGATAGACGTCAGTTAGGACGTAGCTAGGTAGTGCTTACTTAGGGATCACCTCCCAAACCCCATCCCTATGGGGGGAGGCGGAGCGCTGCCAAAATTTTCTTAGGATTATACCCCTTTTCAGGCGCAATAGGACTACCCCTACACTCGGCAGCAACTCGGATGATGCCATCCGAAGCCATAGAGGCATACGAAGCCGGTCGTGCGTGGGAAATAGAGCCCCCGGAACTCATAGAGGGAGGCCTAGTGGAGTTCACGCTCCCGTCCCGACCGACCGCGTGGGATGACGGACAGGTTAGTTGGAGATCCATCATCGTGTCCCCAGGTGCTTGGTTGTGGTTGCGTAGGGAGATCCATAGCAGTCTCGGGAGAGGTTTAGTGCGAGGGCATTTATTCTTGGATTTAGAGATAGCCAAAGGGGCTGTCTTGAGTCTTGCCACATCGGGAGAGAGCGACATCCTCTGTGCCGCGGAACGATTGTTGCAGGCGGAGGTCGAGGCCTTCCGTACGGACGACGGGCAGGACCCGCTGACCCTGTTTCACGGGAGACCCCGCTTGCACATTAGCGGAGAGCTTATTGTAGCGCGCAACGGGTTCTTCCCACACGCAGGGACTTGGTTGAGGACGATCGTACCAACGTTCGTGGTGGACTCCGTCTTCGGCGGGATAGGAGGTATAGTAGAGGCTTATCTTGAGGTTAGGGAGCTCGAGCGTCTTTCGAGAGACGAGTTCGACACCCATTGCATCTACTACTCCTTAGTGACAGCCGGACCCCATTGGGGTGACGAGAGGATCCAGCTCGTGGAGATGATCCGTTCGATTGCGCCAGATGAGGATCCCCTGTGGGGAATTCCTTCTTACACTTGGGATTTGCTGGACCGGAAACTCCGAGCAGGACCCGAGAGCGTTACGTGCATAGGCCTCCTCTTTTTGGACGACCGGTGGAGCTGGTGGAGTGAAGAGATTAGGACACTGATACCTGAGTATCAGTTGACAGATTATTACCAGTTCATAGGTCTTCCACCATAACGCATCGAGGACGAGTTCGACGACGAGGGGTGGGAGCGTGAGGACGACGAGGGCGCCTGAGAGCCAGACTGGGTCGACTCGGAGGGGGAGACTGACGACGAGGAGATCGACGCCACTGACGCATACTTTCCCAGGATAGGAGTCGTCGTCCGGACCTAGGAGGTGGTGTCCGGACGAGGAGAGCTAGTGGTGGCCACCGAGAGAGGCTGTGATTGACGACAGCCAGTAGCTATAGGAGATTCGATGGTAGAGGAGGCGGATAGAGTGGAGCTCGCGATCGACAGTGCCAGATGGCCCAGACCGCCTGAGACAGTGGAGCCCGACGTAGTAGAGTTCGATCTGCCAACGAGGAGCGTGGTTGGGCCCTGGCTCCATTCGGCTTGGAGATCGATACGGTTGGGGCAGGACGTGCACCTGTGGGCGTATGCGGTGGAGACATTTCAGCAGGATGCTCAGCGCTGGCGGGCACCTGGGACTACGAGCATAGAGGTCGTAGGACATATTTATTATTCGCGGTCGGTAAGTGCCACGGCCTATTTTGAGGGTTTGATGCATGGTTTCTGGCGCTGTGAGCAGGAGGTTAGGCTGATCCTATCTCGGATAGTAGATAGCCTCCGTGCAGATAGAGAGGGACTGCACGGTCCGATCGGCGAGTCGAGGACGACCCTCTGGATCGGGGGAGTTTTTCCCCTCCCCTCGGTACGAGTGAGGGTGAGACTCCCTGTATTTGTGGTAGAGGAACTCTGGGGCCTCAGTCACATTGTTGAGACGTATTCAGCCAGTATTGAGCTAGGTGGATTCAGGAGAGGACTGACTGACCAGGATTGCGTTGAGTACGCTCAGTTTATCGGAGGGCCGCTCACAGGGGAGAGAGGACTTCAACTTATAGAGTTCATATGAGCTCTAGCGCCCACAGGAGACCAGGACTCCTTCTACCCCCATCAACCCTTAGAGTTCTGGCTAGCCTTGGAGAGGGAGGTCCAGAGACCTGTAGATAGCTTGGAGGGAGTTGGACGGCTCTTTAGTGAGACTCCCAGTGACAGGCCAACTCCCCTCATCTCTATCTGGGAGTTGGAGGAGCATTACCATAGTATATATCCAGATAGGGAGGAGCTCGGCTTGTACGCTGAGGATAGAGAGTGGGAGACTGTTGGAGAGATAGAGCCTTGGGGAGAGCAGGACCAGGGCTGGGGAGAGTTGGTGACAGAGGATCGTCGGGAGCAGATAGGTGGAGAGGCGCCGCAGGAGGACGGCTGGGGACACTTCCTTCAGGCCGAGGAACAGGAGGATATCCCATGGGGACGGAGGTTAGACGAGGACGGAGATGAGGATATGCCTGATGCGCGAGACGGCTAGAGGCAGGGTATACCCGGGTCTAGCTTAGAGAGGGGAGTAAAGGGAGGTCGGTTAGTAGACACGGGGACAGAACTTTAGACAAAGGACAGGTAGGGATGGCAGACAGGGACACACTGAGAGTGACTCTCTCCTTACGACGAGATAGGACGGGCGGCTGGGAAGAAGAGGCGATGGATGACGTTGCGCGGCGGATTGGACTCATGATCGAGCACGCTCTGGGGATACAGAGAGGCCAGAGATATGTCGAGTTTACCATATACTTCCATGGAGCTGACGGGAGAGTGCACAACACCTACTCGACTGTCGTGAGCCTAACCGGTGGAGTTGTCTGAGAAGGTAGTGTCGTCGTAAGATCGAGTGTGTCGGAGAGACTGGAGTGGCAAGGGTTGAGCGACATCCGGTGATGAGGAGCGATTGGGACATATGGGTGACGTATATATTGACACGAGGGTCAGAGGCTCGTAGAGAGATAGATTTCATAGGGCCAAGAGAGACGGCGCTGGGGTATGACGTTCCGCTTCCGGTGCGCTTAGAGGAAGGAAATTGGGTATCGATCAGACATTTCGGTACTTGGCTGGCGAGAGGGGTCTTCTTGTGAACAGTGATTACGGAGGACCAGGGGTCTCCCCGACAGGTGAAGGGTATAGGATATCTTGTGTTTAATAAGGAGAGAGATATAGAGATAGGCCTGACACTTGTAGGCGTTAGCAGGATCTGGTGGAAATATGAGATCTTAGCAGAGGCGATAGTGAGAAGACAACTGCTTAGCATCGCTGGAAGTAGGCCTTTTACCACGCGAATTGTGATCGGTTCTCCCCCACAGATTTACCATCCTCTAGGGAGATGGCGGATGGTGCTAACCTGAGTTTGTTATAGAACAAACTTACGGAGGCGTGGACTGGTTGACGAAAGCGGCCGACCACACTCAGCACGCGTTCTTACGGGGTCTAGAGCGTCGATTCCTGGAAGCATATTACTCAATTTGCGTAAGGTGGGGACCTCCTGGTAAGGAGATCGAGAGAGACTTGTTAGATGCTACCTCCTGGCTAGACTGCCTAAAACCAGCAGATTTTATTCACTATTGTCGAAGACGCGCAGAAGACAAGTTCATCGGGTTGGAGGACCTGAGATACCTGTTTGGGCATAGCTAGTGGAGGAGATGCCAGGTCGGACGATTACAGGGGTGAGTGTGGGGAGGCAATTAGTGAACGAGGGCTTCACGATTACAGTCTTACTTAGAGCTCACATAGATGACATCCTAACAGAGCAGGAGAGTTTTCTGCAAGCCAGGAAATTTATCCGAGAATATAGACCGGGATTCTCGAATGCGTCACGTTTCAGACCAAGATAACTTATGAAGTGATGGTGTGGTCAGCAGGGTACCTACGCGCTGAGTTGTTCTTCGATGAGACGGTAGCGGAGGTCAGGAGTAGAGTATGATTACCCTGTCATGACGGAACACGAGCAGCAACTGTATCGATATAGACCTCGAGCCTCTTATTCACTTCGGTGGGACCGCAGAGGGGCCGAGTCCTTGAGGAGCGTGAGTGAGAGGAACCCCCGAGTAGCTACTCGAGGAACTGAGACGAGTAGTCCCTCTCCTCGGCGACGTCTTCCCTATGCTCGGGTTGTCTTTAGGCAATTAACGTGTGACAAGGAGACCCTACATATCCTCTTGAGAGTGAGCATAGAGGAAGAACTGTCGGACAGCGAGTTCAAAGAACTTGCAGAAGATGTCATACGGGAGCAAAGACCAGGAGCGTTGAGGGAATTGACAGTACAGAACTGGGTGCTTTATGAGGTGATCGTATGCATTAAAGGAAGGGTGCGCTTGGAGATAATTAGGGACGAGACACCCTCAGAAGCTAGGAGCAATATGTGATAGGAAGTTCATGAGAACAAGAAAGATGGGTTGTACGTGATGGCGGATCTGGAAGAAAAGAAAAAGAGAGTCGATGATCGGATTATTAAACCAGTAGTGAAACTAGTCAGAGAGCTTGGCGTCAAGATCCAGGATTGCGTACCGAAAAAGAGTGAGAGCGAGCTGCGTAAGATAGAAGCGGCAACAAAGGCGTTGCAAAGACTTTTGAGAGAAGATAGAGAATTTTTCGTGAGGTGGAGGCTTGATTTTCTGGAAAGTGTGAAAGGGAGAGTTCATATTAGTCAGGAGCGAGAGGGCTTGCTCGAAACGACCGGGAGGGCAGACGAGGTGTCTGAAGCAGTGACATTGGAGAGGGAGACGAAAGGTGAGGGAACGTCAGGACGGGAATAGAAGAGGATGAGTAGTGAGAAATGTCATATGCGTATAACAGGAAGGTTGAATGGGCAAACCGCTTGTGTTGTCATACAACTGGTCCATCGCGAGAAATTAACTGTGATAGAAGAGGCGGAGAACACTCGACGAGCCGTACGGAAGGCGCGAGTGACCGGACTCTGGGTAGGGGAAGAGAGTGCGTGCTTGATCAACTATTCGCTGCACGTTACCCCTTTTGACGAGCCACCTCTAAATAGGGCATGGGGAGAGACTTCTAGGGAGGCCAAGAGGCTCCTGGAGGATGAAGCAGAGGAAGTTGGAGATCTGGTGGAGATCATAGGAGAAAGTTCAGTTCTCATAATACTCCAGGCACACAACCGGTATTGGAATGAGTACCTTCAGACTCTATCAGATATTTAAGACTTTAGGGATATAGACGATTTTGAGACATTCTATAAGTTTTTGGAGGAATCCACTGACAGAGTCCTGCTAGCCCTGACACTAATCGCAGCGGAGTGTTAGATACCTCATACATAAGAGATGCCATTACCATAGGCAGAGCTAGCGAGGAGGAGAAGAAGATTCGGGGTTTGGGGTGGTCCTTACGAACCTGAACACGCGAAAGTACTTGCAGAATTAAGCGCTTTAGCCGGACGAGAAATTTTCCCTTACGAGGTGATTAAGTACCTAGTGCAGAACAGTGGAATCGAACGCAATCAATACTATATTATGACCGTCCGGTTTCAAAACTTAGAGGTATATCACGTTGGTATATATCTGCCTAAAGAAAGAGAGGAATTTTGCGTATATGGGAGGACTTGGAGGAGAGCTGCGTGGGCATTGAGAGAAGAGGAAAAGAGGTTAGAAAGTTTGGGGAAGATTGTGGAGGTCTGCGATGACATCACTATTTTTTACGGTTTAGCTAGGCCGCCTGTTCCATATCGAGGGCTAGAGCGAAACAAATGGGAGGCTATAGTTGGATTCGCTCAGGCAGTCAAAACTAACGGCAAGCTCAAAAAGAGCGTTAAGGATTAATAGGATCCTCGGATGAGTAAAGATACGACCATCCCTGAGAGCGAGCTAGAAGCTAGGAGAGAGAGGTTTCTTGCGGGCAACAGACCTTCGGACACGAAGTTGGCGAAAGTCTGCTACTAGTTGAGCTCTTTGGGGCAAAGAGAAGTGGTTCCGTACGAAGTAGTGACATACGAGTTAGCGGATGGGAGCAGATACGCTTTTACATTATCACCGTTCGGTTCTTTGTCGTGGAGGTGTATGATGTTAGGAATTACCTCCCAGTTGAGCGCAAAGGCGATTTGATTTACAGTCGATGTTGGGAGCATGCGGAAGAAGTCATTGAAAATGAGCGGGATAGGCTCCAAGCGCCAGGTAAGGAGGTAATCTGAAACACCCTAATTACGCTCTTTCAGGGGTTACCCAGACCTCATGTACCGCGTCAGGTGGTACGAGGGAGAAGCAATGAGGCAATGGTTGGCCTAACACTTCGATACTTTAAGTTCGATGGTCGTAGGGGGTGATTACCCACTCGCAGGAGCTCGAATCGCACATCACGGGTTGAGTGATTTAGCGCGAAGGATATCGGTCGACCTACGAGGGAATTTGCTTTTTTGTGCACCGGAGGAGTTGAGGAGGATCGCGACAGGGATTTGTAGGAGAGTAAGGATACCAGAGTCCGGACTTATAGAGATAAGGAGAGGCGTTCATTGCATAGAAGAGCAGGACGGAGAACTTTATTTTGACTCATGGATTATAGGAATCAAGGGTGAGCACGAGATACGAGACAAAGCTGGGAGACTCGTTACGATCCTGAGAGCGGTCGTAGACAAGTGATTTTTATTTTTATTTTTTTATTTTTATTTTTTTATTTTTATTTTTTTATTTTTATTTTATCATAGGTCCGGGTTGCGGATACTTTCATAGGTCCGAGCTGCGGATACCTTCATAGGTCCGAGTTGCGGATACTTTCATAGGTCCGGGCTGCGGATACTTTCATAGGTCCGAGTTGCGAATGCTTTCATAGGTCCGGGCTGCAGATGCTTTCATAGGTTCGGACTGCGGATTCTTTCGTAGATCCGGGGTGTTGGTGCTGACCTGCTAAATCGCAAGAGGGGGAAGTATATGAAATCGGACACGATGGGACCGCATCCGGACGAGGAGCAAGCTGTATATCGAGCATCGCCGGATCGGGCCCTGCAAGATCTCAAGGAGCGTCTTCGACAGAACGCCCCTCTGAGGTGTGTAGAGTAGTCGGGCGACGGCGAGCCTGAGGTGATGGCACCTCCTCCCGTTACCGAGCCCAGCAGGGCCGCGCCGATAGAGCGACCGGACATACAGACCGAGCCTCCGAGTTTTCGGCACGAATTGTTTATTCAACGCCCATCTATGTATGAGCGTAGGGAGGATAGAGGCTACCTAGGAACGGAAGACTGGAGGGACCTATTCATTAGGGAGCAGCTTTGGAGAGATAGGGAGAAACCGGCGATATCCAGACGAGTATTTGACCCAGAGACAGGGGAAACACACTCCCTGCCATACAAGACGAGAGATAGGCTCATCATCTCCCATCAGCCCTCAGAGTTGGATACCAGACCACCTGTTTTCAAAGGGTGTGGTATCACCGAATATATCGAAAAGTGGGAGTTGCACGCATACCGAAGTCAGTGGACAGAGGATGAGATTATAGACAACTTCTTGTTTAATGTGGACCCAAGCTTGAGCCAAGAGATTAAAGAGGCTCGACCCAAAGATAGGCGATGGGCTACTTATAAAGTCAATCTGTACGAACTCTACAAACTAGAAGATGTTAAGTATTMTATCCGGGACTTGGAGMAGCTAACCCAAGGAGAGGGCGAAAGTGTCCGGGCCTTYGGAAAGCGGTTCCAGAAGGTATCTGATGCCCTTATGGCAAAARGGAAGTTGTCAGAGGTCGAAAGMTGCACGATYTTCCTTGGGMAGCTACYGAWAGGRAARCAAAAGGCAGTGCTGAGAGAGACGCCTCACGATAAGCTAGAATTCACAGCATTGCTCAAGTTGGCCATGAAGGCTGAGGCAGATGACTACAAGGACTTACTCTGGAAAGGCATGCAGCGCCGGGATTTTTCCCTCTATCAGGAATACGGGACCGACAGGTGCCCAAATTTCAACGACAAACCTTGGGCAGAGCGACGTTATATGATGGATAGAGATGGGCCCCTACGGTCAAAGGATAATGATGCTATCATAGAAAAAATGCAAGAGAAGATGAAGGCAATGACAAGGCAATTGACAAATTTTGAAACGAAGGTCGGAACTACATACCGGGATAAACCCGGGTCACCTTATTCCTTACGATGGGATCGCCGCAATACTGACCCATGGAGAAACGTCGAAGACCGTAACCCCCGCACACTGGCCGACTATCGTGCGAGGGAAAGAGATGAGGATGAGCGCCGGCGTAGAGACGAGGATGATCGTAGACATAGGGATGAAGAGGATCGAAAGCGCAGAGAAGAAGACGATCGGAGATGTAGAGAGGGCGAAGAGAGGAGGCGCCGGGATAATACTATAGACAGAGACCGCCGGCGTGATGGGTACCGAGGGGGAGATTCTTACAGTCGAGGAGACAGAGCTGACCAGTATCCGCGCAGTCCCAGAGACCACTACCCGCGCAGTCTCAGATACGGTGGAAATGCCGAGGGGTACCGGAGCCCGAGCAACTTTAACTCGAGAGATAGAAAGGACTCTCATGGTCGGTGGGAATCGGATAGGGACCGCCGAGATGGATATCAAAGCGGTTACGAGCGGACAGAGAGAGGTGATCGTAGAGAAGAGTCACGGGGGCAGTATGAGAAAGGAGGATATCTTGCGTCGCCAAGGTATCCCAAGTCCCCAAACTACCCTAGATCTCCTGGGCCATCTAACCAGGACGCGAGACGACCGGCAATTAGGTCCGCGGAGGAACGACCCCCTACCCCTAGGAACTCTTGTATCTATTGCAGGGGAGATGATCACCTCAAGAGAGACTCCCCTGACCTCAAGAGAGCAATAGATGAGGGGTTTGTCGTACTTGATGATCGCAAGTACGTCAAGTGGGCAGATAACCTCGGCGATGTATCGATGTTTCCTTCAATGAAAGAGAACGTGAATGCTAGACGAGTAGTACCGAACAAGGGTAAGGCGGTTGCAAGAACCCAAAGCGTGAGACTGAGTTTGTCGTCTGATAAGGAGAGTCCTATGACACCCATACGGGTGGCAGCGACTAAGTCCGCCAGGGCTTCCTCCTCTAAGAAGGCTGACACTAATTATGTAATGGCAGAGAAAGATGGACAGAGGATTGAAGGAGAAGAAGTCATACTTTCCCCGCGCAAACGTGGGGCAAAAAAATTCATGATGAAGAGTACCCTGGATGACATAGACACAGTCGAACCTCTTAGCCGTGCTCTCAGGCAGCCTATGCAGTGCACGATCCTAGAATACTTGGCGGCTTCGAGGCCAGCACGGGATGAATTGCAAATGATTACGCGTAAGACGTGTGTTCCTCTGAGCGACGAGGTCCAAATGACAACCAAACAGGAGGAGATACCCACTGTTGCAGTATCAAGTATGACCGCTAAGGCGGATCGTGCTGCGACGGTATTCTTAGATGGGATAGAGGGAGTGCCTCCCGACAAGTTTTACATTCTAGGCAGTGGGACAGTACAAATTACCCTCAACGACGGCAGCGAGGCTGTCATTATGGACGAGGGCCTAGCGGTCCGATTGGGATTAGACCTGGATAGGTCATACCAATTTGAGATAGAGACCGCTGATGGAAGGAAGCACAAGGTCGCAGGAGTTTGTCACAAGGCAGCAATCGAGGTCGAAGGACTGAGAGTGATGATGCCTGTTTTCGCAGTTCGGGATTGCAGCGCAGAGTTATTATTGGGACGGACATGGATAAGTCATGTCCATGCCATTACTATAGAACGGCCAGATGGAAGCCAGATGTTTTCCATCAAGCGTCCGGACGGTGGGCGGATTATGATGGAGACGGTAGAGCCTCGCGATCCGAGGAATAGAGCGGTTCTCGCCGCAGTGGGCCGTGTACCAGCTCCCCTTGCGAGTCGGTCCCTAAGCTTTCACAAAAAGAAGCATGGACCTCTAATTATAGAAGAAGAAGGTCAGATAGTCGAAGTCGAGGATTTAGGGACTCGGGTACATGTAGGAAGGAACGCCTATCCTAAGGCAGAAGATGAGGAATTCGGAGAGATGATATCTGTGTATTTTTTAAGGGCACAGCCCCCTACGGGGGGCGACCAAAACGACACAAGACAGTAGCTCAGAAGGTTAAGTCGGCGGCCGTAGCATGAGAGCGATCTGCATTAGATAGAGTGTCTGAAGAGGAGATCGCTAGAGAAATTAAAGAAAAGAAGAGAAAGGAGTCGCAACGGCTGACAAAAAAGAGGATAGCGGAGATTGACATAGGCGATGGGAATCTAACTGAGTCGGAGAAAGAGCGAGTGTTGGAAGTCCTTAAGTCTTGTGACAAAGCTATAGCATTCAGTGATGCGGAAAGAGGAAGGATTGATCCTAGATATGCTAAGCCGACGAGAATCTACACGATTCCGCATACGTCATGGAATGACGCAGGGTGAAAGTTTGCTCAGAAAGAGAAGGAAGGGGTGATCTCCTTTCTCAAAGAGAAGATGGCGTCACACGTAGCTGAGCCTTGTGACAGCGCTTATGCGAACAGATGGTTCTTCTTAAGGAAGCCTAGCGGAAAGATTCGGTGGATTCAAGACCTTCAGAAGGTCAACGCTGTAACGATTCGGGATGTAGGCTCACTACCGCACGCTGATCTGTTAGCGGCAGGCAGATCCATTTATTCTGTCTGCGATTTATTTTCAGGATATGACGAGATACCACTAGATCCGAGAGATAGGCATCTCACAGCCATGCACACGCCGCTCGGATTAGTGCAGATGATGGTAGTTCCGATGGGATGGACCAATGGAGTAGTTGTCTTTCAGAGAGCCATGGTAGCGGTTCTGAAAGACTTTATCCCAGATAAAGTAGAAGTTTTCCTGGATGACTTTCCGATAAAAGGACCGGTGTTGAAAGATGAGACGGAAGTCGCTCTTGACGTCAGGAGGTTCGTAGAGCAGCATCTGATAGACATTTACGCTGTTCTGGAATAGTTGGATGAAGCTAACCTAACAGTTAGCGGGACAAAGAGTCGATGGTTCATATCAACGATTAAGATTCTGGGATTTATATGCGACGCGAAAGGCCGACGACCCGACCCTGGGAAACTGGAGAAGTTGTTAAGTTGGCCGACTCCATTGCACAGCGCAACTGAAGTTCACCAGTTTTTAGGGGTTGTTGGTTATTGGCGGATTTTTATACGAGGATATGCGGAAAAGGCGGAACCTCTGCGCATACTTCTTAGGAAGACTGAGAAGTTATACTAGGATTCTTCTCAAAAGCTAGCAGTGCAATCCCTCAAGGAAGAATTTAAAGAAGGCGGCCGAATTTTAGGTGTGCCTTTCTTTGAGGACGAAATCAATAGACCATTTATAGTGTCTACCGATGCCGGGCCATGTTCGGTAGGAGGATTACTTTCTCAAAAGGATGCTGATGGCAAGGAAAGACCATTGAGGTTCGAGAGCCGAACACTCAACACCGCAGAGCGTAATTACAATCAGTTTAAAAAGGAAGTGTTGGTTGTTCTACGGTGCTTAGATACCTTTAGGCATTACATATACGGGAGACGATTCGTCCTTAGGGTAGACCCTACAGCTGTAGCGTCAGTCCTACAGAAGGACTTCAGCCTCACCGATCCTACGATCGCGCGATGGCTGATCAGGATTCAACTTTATGATTACACTGTGGAAAGAATCTCAGGGGAAAAGAACGTTGTAGCTGACAGGCTTTCGCGAATTCCCATCGAGGTAGAACGACCGATATCGGCTGCTGCTCTGACTATGGCCGAGCCTAGACGAACGGATCGCTTCCTAGTTAATCTTTATGAAGGCAAGTACCGCGCTATAGGACTGCATCTGTCGGGAGAGGGGAGCCCCGATTCGAAGATTCGGAGACAGGCGGCGCAATATTGCCTTAGAGCTGGGCATTTGTTTCGTCGACCTGTGGGAGCAGGGATGCCTCTTCGGGTGATCTGCGATCAAGAGGAGATACAATCCATAGTGGTCGAGTTGCATGACAGTGTAGTCGGAGGACATAAAGGAGTAAAAGGAACATACGAGAAGGTTCGCAGACTGTATTGGTGGGAGGGACAGTACAAGGACGTTGAAAAGTACTGCGAGACTTGTGAGGACTGCCAGAAGAGGTCCCTTATTAGGTATAAGGAACCACTTCATCCTTCTTATCCCACTAGACCACGGGAGAAAGTGCATATTGATCTGGTGAAAATGCCGAAGGGGGTAGGGAATATGAATTATGTAGTCAACATCAAGCATGATTTCACTGTCTTCGTCGATGGTAGGCCTATCAGGACGAAAGCAGCAAGAGAAGTTAAGAACTTCGTCTTGGAGTATCTGTCTAGATACGGATGTGTTAGTAAGATTGCGATGGATAGAGGAGCAGAATTCCTAGCAGACGAGGTACAGAGCGTATTCAAGAAAGCTGGAGCTAGAGTATCAATTGCTACTGCCTATCACCCTCAGTCCAATGCACCTGTAGAGCGAGGCCAACAGTCATTGATTGCGTCCTTATCCAAGTGGTGTAGAGGGAAAGATAGCGACTGGCCGAAGTATTTCAGGTACGCGATATGGGCAGACAATGTCACTGTCCGAGCTAGTACGGGCTACCCTCCTTACACTTTATGGTTTGGAAGGCACTGTCCCCTGCCCATAGAGTTTCACGTTGACAGTTGGACCACGGTTAACTGGGCAGATAACATGGCTCGAGAGGAATTACTGGCAGCCCGGACTAGGCAGATAGCTTACGGACTGGAAGGCAATCTCATGACCGCGGCCGATCGGCTAGCAGTAGAACGAGAAAATAACAAAGTGAGATGGGACAAAGACGTCAGGATCAGAAAGGAAAAGATCAAGGTTGGCGACATGGTGCTCCTCTACGACGCCGCTTTGGAAAGGACATGGACTGGGAAACTGGCTAATCGATGGATAAGGCCCTATCATGTAGTTGGTGTGTTAGGTTGGGGAGCCTATATGATTGCTGAGCTAGATGGGTCAAAATGGAAGGATCCTGTGGCGGGAGCTAGACTGAAGTTGTTTAGGTCAAGGGAGACTCCTACTCCTGCTCCGAGGCCATCAGATCCTAAAGGAAAGGGTAAAGCTAAGATAACGGATGGAGGACCGTCAAGACGGTTCGAGGTAGGAGAGAGTTCGAAGAAGAGGAAGAGGGTGGAGACCAGGAAAGTGAAAGGCTTAGCCTTGGGCAAGAGAAAAAAATGGGTCTTCGTTCTACAAAGACCTGAGCGCAGGGTCCTCATTAGGAAGGGTGGCGCAGTTGACATACAGGCTCCCCAACGAAAGGGGAAGCAGAGGAATATTCCTACGTCAAAGTCCAAATAACTGCGGCATAAGAAAGGGAGGAAGCACCCTCTCAGTCCCAGAATTCCTAAGAAACCCAGACGCCAGACAGACAAGAGGTGGCACTCCCTTCGAGCGCAAGTGGTCCATTTAGACCTGGTACGTTTTGTTTGATCTTTGCGGAGCGGGCTCGACGGGGGCGTCGAGAAGATGTCCGGGCTTGTTTGTCGGGCGACCGAAGACCAGTCGGTCGCCCTAATACCGAGAGATTGACTCTTAAAAAAGTTGTCTGAGAGGGAATCGACAGAAAGTTTGTCCGACTGGCTGGGAAAAATTAGGGGGAGTCAGGCCATCCCTAATTTTGGGTATGTCAACCATCAAGACTAGCCTCAAAACTAGCAAGCGGGACTACCGCTTCGCTGCCCTAACGGCTACCGTATTATCTATCTCATTTTCGCCCGCTCCAAGCCTGTTCCCGAGACGATTGGTTGTGGGTCGGTAATTTGAGAATGGGTTTAGACAAGGCTCTTTTACAATGTCAAATGGAGGCGAGGACGGAGCCCCACATTTCATTAAATTTAAAGTTGAAAATAAAAATGAGAAAAAGAATTAAAAACAAAAGAAAAGAAGAGAAAAACAAGATTTTCTTCAATTTATTTAATTTCTTCGGCATTTAATTTTGATGGGATCGCCCTCATTAATTATTATTTCTGATAATAAAATTAAAATCAAGAAAAGGAAATCAAAACTATAGAAAGAAAAAGAAAACATGAAAATTCTCGATATTTAATCGAATTCCGTCGGAATTCGTTTTTTATGTAACTACCTTATTTTCATTCTTTTCGATAATAGAATTAAGAAATAAGCAAAACAATTAAAATAACAAAAGGAGAGAAAACCAACGATTATCTAATATTTGACTAATTTTTATCTTAGTTATTCACGATAAATTTTGACCCCGGATTATTTATTTGCTCTAATCCTAACGATTCTTTCTATTCCCCTATGATTGAGATCGGCTACATGACCTGCCCGATTTTCCTGATTATTGAGCTCGCCGCAGTTTGAGTGTCGAGACAATGGTGTCGCATGGCCGAGGTGGGTTGATGCTACCTTGGTTTGGCCCTTTCAAGTATGGTTTTTACTTCTTGCTCAGTTCAGACACACGGTTCGGAAGAGGTTCGGTGCTGCTACGGGACTAGGACAATCTACAGTACTCGGCATATTCTGGGCATGCCATTGGTGTGGTACACGCTGCTGGGTTATTTTCAGGCCGGTTCGATCACGACATTTTGGTTTGGGACAGGTTTGGAATTATCACGGCGGGGCTGTATAGGGTCGACATCGACATGTTTCAGATTCGACATCTCAACGGCGATCTGTTTCGGGGTCCGGGGCTCTCATGGGGGTTTATTTAGGGATTGCTGTCATCATATGTCAGTTTCGGTCTCATCACGACGATTTATTTCGGGCTCGGAACTCCGACTACAGTTCATTTTCAGTTCACCTTCAACGCGACTCCGACAGTTTACTTCCGGATCGGGTCCAACACGACCATTTATTTCAGCGTCCGATGCCATAGCCACATTATTTTTCAGGTTCGGAGTAGGACCTGTAGTGAGCGGTTTGACAGTGGTACTTTCCCGTGTAATCTGTTTCGGGCTGCGGAGTTCCACTCCATTGATGCTGGCACGACACTGGGACTTAGTATTACGGSATGTTCTCGTTCTTTCGGGTTCGGAATTCTGGTCTGGAACAGGTTCGGTATTATCATGGTATTTCTGGCTTTCTACGGTATCCGGCTTCGGTACGATACGCATCACTGCATCAGTTTCAGATTCGGTATTGGCAGCTTAGAAGGTTTATTTCAAGTAGTAACTTCAGGCTCGACTTTGGTCTGGCATGGGCTGCTGTGGTGCAGAAAGGTTAACTCAGCCTCGGTATTGGTATGGTAGCAGCCATGGTAATTGGTACACCGAGCCTGTTAACTTCGATTTTTGGCCCTGGCGCAGGTGACCTGTGATTTGCTCTTGGTACTGTTCCAGAAATTGCTACTGGTTCAGTGATGGAAATCCGGTATCGTTTCCTGGTGCTCCTGCTGCTTTTTTGGCTGGTACCGGTGACCTGGCCCGAAGTGCTGGTCTCGCAAGAAAATCCCGTGATACCGTTGGTACCAGAGCTACGGGCTTGGGCCTGCGTTTTTCTCAGGAGCCTCTGGTCCACTGAGGGCTACGCCCTGTGCGGCTGCCGCCTATATGGGGGGCCCGTTGATATTGGAATGGGGGCAGACGGGGGGCAGTCTCTGGCAGCATGCTGGGTGTACGCAGCCCACTTTGAAGCTCGTTTCAGACACGAGTGAATGAGCGACGGTCAACGGTAAAAGGAGAATGGAAGGAGGCATTGGGGGAGAGAAGGGGGGAATGGACTGTTCGCCAGGTGTACACCGCCCACCTCTGGCTTATCGCGCTGCGTCAAAGGGCTTGATTGGAGAATGGAACGGGGAGAACTGCTTCAGACAGTAAAGAGGGGAGGAAGAAAGAGTTTGGGATGTGCACTGGGGACTCTGCAAGTTCGCGCTCAGGTCGTTTCTAGTTGGTATGGTGTGTGTAGCCCTTGCTAGCTAGCGGGCTATCGCCTTGTTGTGGGATTGAGTAAGAGGAAGAATACGCGGGCCGCGCATGAAGAGGTAGGGGTGAACTTCGGCCGAGCGGATGAGAAACCGCTGCTTGAGTAGTGAGTATTAATCTGCCCCAATAAGCGGGGCGAATGCATTCTGTTTTCTTGGGCTTGATCTGCCCGCTTCATCAGTGAGAGAAAGTTGGTATTAATCCGCCCCTATAAGTGGGGCGAATGCATTGTGTTTTCTTGGGCTTGATCTGCCCGCTTCATCAGTGAGAGAAAGTTGGTATTAATCTCCCCCAATAAGTTGGGCGAATGTATTCTGATTTCTTGGGCTTGAT